TGTAATAAAAAATAAAAAAAAATAAAATGAATAAAAACAATTGAAAAAAAATTATCAATTTATTTTTTTGTACTGTCACCAGTCAGTGTCCCTGATCACCGCCACACCAGTTATATGATGACGCTGTACTGCACTGGTGACAGTATGTAAAAAAAACATTTGTGAAAATAATTGTTTTCATTTTTTCATTTTCCTCAAAATTATTACAAAAAATTTACAACTTCAAAAAACTAACCATGCCTCTTATGATACGTCAGATTGTCTACATTTCAAAAGGGGGTCATTTGGGGGATATCTGTACTGTTCTGACATTTTTGGGCCTCAAGAAATTACATTGGCTGTCAGTACTTTACAGGATTTATCAATTTTCAGATATATCCCATAGTTTGTGAACTCTACAACTTACCTACATACTGAATAATAAATACTGATTTGGGTTATTTTCACCAAAAACATGTAGCAGAATACATCTCGGCCTACATTTATGAAGAACAATTATTTATTTGCAAACTTTGATAACAGAAACAAAGAAAAACGTGTTTTTTTTCTTCAAAATGTTAATTTTTTTTTGTTAATTTAGCAAAAAATAAAAACCCCAGTGACGATTAAATACCACCAAAAGAAAGCTCTAGTTGTGTGAACAAAATGATAAAAATGTAGTTTGGGTACAATGTTTCATGATCGCACAATTCTCATTCAAAGTGTGAGAGCGCTGAAACCTGAAAATTGGCCTGGGCAGGAAGGGGGTAAAAGTGCCCTGTATTGAAGAGGTTAAACCCATGGCCCGTCTGCGAAACGGGATGCTACATGTTGTGTCTATGGTCAGACTGTGATCCGTATTTGTATGTACATTGATATGCCTTACTTTTTCTAATAAAAGTTGTTGTTTTTTTGGGGGGAAAAAAAAAGAAAAAAGGGGGGTAAAAGTGCCCAGTATGGAAGTGGTTAAAGGAAGTAAGATAACAGACTTACTGGCCATATCACCAGGTGAAAATAAAGGAAAAAAATCCTAAAATAAAACTAATTCAGCTATCACATCTAAGAATTAGTAAGCTGCAGTATAATAAATTGTTTGCTTTTGGGTTTGGAGACACTTTTATGATATTCTAACAAAATCTATAATAATATTATAAAAAAAATGAATGCTGCATATATTTTCTGTACATTCAGATACACTCTCTCACACTATACATACAGTATATATACACAGGTATATATATATATATATATATATATATATATATTCACATACCACAAACCAAATGTCTCTGCACCTAAATTTGGCATTCCATGTCTTTCAGTGTCGGCTTGTCCTCCTCCGGAGAAGTGGATTTGTAGGTGTAGAGGAAGAACAAGCGACATTCTGTTGGAACAAGGGATTGCGGTATACTTAAGTATACATAAGCCAGTAAGCGTCCAAAACAAACTTTAAAAGCCAAACTACGTCTTTGACTAATTCACTGTAAAAGTAAAAACAAAGCTGGAAGTCACAAAATTCGTTACATTCACCCTTTTGAAAGATGTAAAGACTTTCCACCAAAAGTAGTAGTCAAGGGTGAGTGCCTTTTTACTGCAGTTTGACTTCATGTTGGTGAGATTTCCCTTGACATCCTGTCTATGCGATGGGTGTCAGACAGGACAGGAAATGAGGAGAAATCTCTCTAAGGGCTGGTGTAGGAAAGGTGTGTTCTATGCACGTTTCCTGAATGGCGTTCAAAATGCACTGCCTTTATGATCTGCTGTAGCTGCCAAAAAAAAAAAAGTGCAGGAGCCTTTTTTAAAGTCGCTGTGACTTGAGTCCCACCGATTAGAACAGGGCCATTGACAGGTATAGGATGCAACTTGTCATGCAACTTTGAAGGTGCATAACAAGTCGCAGTGCTTTGAACCAGGGCTGAGAAATGCTGCAAAATTAAAATTGCTTCTAGCTCAGGGCCATATATTGGTCTCTGAATTTCTTTGCAGCGATGATCGCACGTTGGGCTACCCATTCAAGTGAATGTGAATCACGCTATTTAAATTGCTACGTTCCCGCTAAGCCATATGGGGCCTTATAAATCATTTGTACATGTTGTTGTGTAGCCCTGGAAGAGGCATGTTGAAAACCCTGCCAGAGTAACGCATTTTTTTGTTTGGAACTAAACTTTCTTCCAATAAACGTGTACAAAGAAAGTCGTAAACCGCAAGCTTGGTGATTGGACTATTTGTGCTTGCTACGCCCTCCAAATCTCTCTCTCTCTCTCTCTCTCTCTCTATATATCTCTCTCTCTCTATATATATATATATATATATATATATTATATATACAGTGTTCAGCATACATGAGTACACCTCAACAGATTTGTCAGGAAACCTTTACTTTCCTTTCAGAATCAACATTTTCCATGGGACACTATACTACAAAATACTCCCACAAATACGGGCCATTAACTGCAAACGAGATTTGTTAATTTGCACACACAAAAAAATAATTTTTCCTAAGAAATTCATTCAAGACCATGTTGCAAAAATGAATACACCCCTATAAAAGTCTAAGGAGCAAAGCTGAATTTTAAACAACAAAATTCTAATTAACATGAATTTGTCTACAGGTGAGTTTAATTATTCATTAAACAGGTGTCCAGAAGACAGTTGACTATAAAAGGTCGTTGCTTAAAGAAAACCCCTCCCATTTCATGCCCTATCGTTTGATGGAAATGAAAATTACCAACCTACAGAGGACTGAATTCAGACACCTTGAAAATCAAAGTAAAAAAAAATGATGCAGCAGGCTAGTCCAGTTTGCTGAAATTTCATTGCAACAACTCAAAATGGTACTCATTTGAGCTCTTAGACAGTCTGAGGTGCAACCTGGCGTTGTTGGATGGACCGAAACAAGATATCCTGGAAGGTGTTCTATTGGATTTAGGTCAGGTGAGCGTGGGGGTCATTCAATGGTATCAGTTCTTTCATCTTCCAGGAACTGCCTGCATACTCTCCCCACATGAGGCCGGCCATTGTCGTGCACCAGGAGGAACCCAGGACCCACTTCACCAGCATAGGGTCTGACAATGGGTCCAAGGATTTCATCCCGATACCTAATGGCAGTCAGGGTGCCATTGTCTAGCCTGTAGATGTCTGTGCGTCCCTCCATGGATATGCCTCCCCAGACCATCACTGACCCACCAAAACGGTCATGCTAAACGATGTAACAGGAAGCATAACGTTCTCCATGACTTCTCCAGACCCTTTCATGTCTGTCACATGTGCTCAGAGTGAACCTGCTCTCATCTGTGAAAAGCACAGGGCACCAGTGGCGGACCTGCCAATTCTGGTGTTCAATGGCAACTGCCAATCGAGCTTTATGAGTCTGGGCAGTGAGCACAGGGCCCGCTAGAGGACGTTGGGCCTTCAGGCCACCCTCATGAAGTCTGTTTCTGATTATTTGGTCAGAGACATTCACACCAGGGGCCTACTGGAGGTCAATTTGTAGGGCTCCGGCAGTGCTCATCCTGTTCCTTCTTCTACAAAGGAGCAGATACCGGTCCTGCTGATGGTTTAAGGACCTTCTATAGCCCTGTCCAACTCTCCTAGAGTAATTTCCTGTCTCCTGGAATCTCCTCCATGCTCCATGTGCTGGGAGACACAGCAAACCTTCTGGCAATGGCATTTATTGATGTGCCATCCTGGAGGAGTTGGACTGCCTGTGCCACCTCTGTAGGGTCCAGGTATCGCCTCATGCATGCTACCAGTAGTGATACTGATCCTAGCCAAATGCAAAACTAGTGAAAAACAATCAGAAAAGATGAATAGGAAAACAAATGTCAGTGGCCTCCACCTGTAAAACCATTCCTGTTTTGGGGGTCATGTCATTGTTGCCCATCTAGTGCACCTGTTGTTAATTTAACAACCCCTTTTGCTACTTAACTGAACAGATCAATATCCCAGGAGTTCCTGTGACTTGATGGTATACTCTGATGAAAATTTTTCCTTTAATTTTTTTGAGCAGTATATATATATATATATATATATATATATATATATATATATTTTTGTATCTATCTATGTATACTGTTTATATATAGTGTTGTCATATATGTTATCTCCACCAAAGCAGTCAGTTTTGCTATTTCCTAATAAAAACAGTCTGACCCTACATGGGAAGGACTACCTTTTAATATACTGTTTCCTTTGAACAAGAGCCTCAGTGTTTAGCAGCATGACGTATTTTACAATATATGCCTCTGTTCTGATAAACATAGTCATTAGGGACTGCCAGACTCTGTTCTGATGATCTGACGCTCCTGCTAGAGGCTGTATGGTGCTGGTGGCCATTATATATTAGTCTGCAAAAAGTTTGTACTGTTCACCTTTTTCTACATGCGAGGTGCAGATACTGATATCTAGTAATGTACAATGGTTACATATAATAGTGAAGTCATTTAATAACTTCAAATAGATTATTATTTAAAATGTGTCCCTTCAAGACAAAGCTGTGCATAGCAGTCTCACTACACCAGCTCACTAGCAGAATGCCTGTGGAAGTTATTAATATTTTAATGAACTTTATTATCAGATCCAAGATGCAGAAAACTATAAAAGTCTTTTTATATGCACCACTCACAGACAGTAGACAATATAAAAGCAAATACTGCAATATAAAAACAGCAAGCTGGTGAAGTTATCCAGGAAATATTTAAATGTGCTGAAAGTGTTACTAAACCTCTGACCCCGCATTCACTATATCTGGTCTCCCCGGACCCTGCATTCCCTATATCCGGTCCCCCCAGACCCCGTATTCACTATATCTGGTCTCCCCGTACTCTGCATTCACTATTTCCGGTCTCCCAGGACCCTGCATTCACTATATCTGGTCTCCCCGGACTCTGCACTCACTATATCTCATCTCCCCAGACCCTGCATTCACTATATCTGGTCTCCTCAGACCCGGCATTCACTATATCTGGCCTCCCAGGACCCTGCATTCACTATATCTGTTCTCTCTGGGCCCTGCATTCACTATATCTGGTCTCCCCGGACCCGGCATTCACTATATCTGGTCTCCCCGGACTCTGCACTCACTATATCTGGTCTCCCAGAACCCTGCATTCACTATATCTGGTCTCCCCGGACTCTGCACTCACTATATCTGGTCTCTCTGGACCCTGCATTCACTATATCTGGTCTCCCAGGACCCTACATTCACTATATCTGGTCTCCCAGGACCCTACATTCACTATATCTGGTCTCCTCAGACCCTGCATTCACTATATCTAGTCTCCCTGGACCCTGCATTCACTATATCTGGTCTCCCCGGACTCTGCATTCACTATATCTAGTCTCCCCAGACCCTGCATTCACTATATCTGGTCTCCCCGGACCCTGCATTCACTATATCTGGTCTCCCCTGACCCTGTATTCACTATATCTGGTCTCCCAGGACCCTGCATTCACTATATCTGGTCTCCCCGGACCCTGCATTCACTATATCTGGTCTGGACCCTGCATTCACTATATCTGGTCTCCCTGACCCTGCATTCACTATATCTGGTCTGCATTCCCTGGTCTCCCCGGACCCTGCATTCCTGCATTCACTATATCTGGTCTCCCCGGACCCTGCATTCACTATATCTGGTCTCCCACATTACAAACAACATGGAAATGCAATTATTTTAGTATATATAAACTGCTAAATACCTTTCCCATCAGCAGTTTATAGCGGTTTTGCGACTTGTATTAGTGTCCGGCTGAGCACTTGATAAAGTTTGTAGGAAGAGTTTTCATTCTTCTCGGACTGTTCTAAGAGGTTGCATAACCCTGACCCTCTGTTTGGACAGGGCTGATTGGCCCTGTGCTGATGACATGCACCCCTCCTCCCCCCAAAAAAACTCTCTAGCAATACACACTAAACTGAGCATGTGTAGAGTGACAGCTAGAGCTCTGTACTATCAGCAGATGGATGGGGGGCATACAGCCATTTTACACAATGCAGAGTATTAACTCCCCCTGTTGTGGGATTCGTAAAACTTTAAAGGGTAATTCCACTTTCATGGGGAACAAATTAGCAAAAAAAAAAAACCCAAAATAATTTATAGTATACAATTGTTACACAAGTCATAGTATAACTGAATGTTATTGAAAAGTACCTTTTTATTTTTAATCTTCAGTCATTTTCTGTAAAATGCAAAGCAATACGGCTTCCTGGAGGTGTTCTGTACACAGATGGTGTACAGAAAGTCCCCCATAAATGTAATTTCCTGCTTGTGTGATTGGCTTACTGATTGTCACAGAAGTCTGCACTAAGTCAGACTTTTGGTATCCTCTGCAAAAAAATGCCATTTTGGGGAGGGGGGGGGGGGGGGGGGTAGTTAGTGGGGTGTTTTTTTTACCTTAATGCAGGAAATGCATTGAGGTAAAAAAAAACACCCAGGCTTTAGAAACTACTTTATAGTGTAACTCTACTTTTGTTGAGTAAAAATCTGCCCCCCCTGGCATTCTATGTACATTACAAAGTGAGATGTTAACAACCTTTGCAGTGAAGTCCTTCTTTTTTCTGTTCTGAAGAAAAAAAGTTGTTTGTTCCATTATGCCTTACAAAACGATTCCTGAATAGGAGGCTCTGGTTCATTACAACTACCTGGTACATTTTCAGTGTTTCAATGAGAAAAGTTGTGGAATCTGCCTCCCTTCAGGAGAAAATAACCCTCAGGGAGTATCTCACCAAAAGTGAAATTCTTATTGCAGAAGCTGCCTTAAATTGGACTTGGTATCTTAGTGCAGATGTCTGGGAAAATCAGTGAGCCAATAATACTAGGAGGAAATGACATATTACAAAATCACAACAGCTTCAATTGAAATAAAAAGCTAATGTTTAATAACATGCTTTGTGTCGCAGCCCTACTAAAGACCAATATGACCATCAAATGTGGCCTTCTATTGTAAGTTTGATCATTTTTTACATTCGGAAACGTGGTGTCAAATCAAAATTTGGCCACATTCACTCTTCAACATTCAGCTGGCCTCTCACAAGAGGATTTTAGACTCCTTTCACGTGATTCTATACTGTTCAGAGCAGGGGCGGACTGACCATTTGGAAACTCGGGCACTGCCCGAGGGCCCGGGGTCAGTAGGGGGCCCCATGAGATGACCCTGGTATACCTTTTTCATAGGCTTTTTTTGAGTTTGGGCAAGACACAGGGGCCCCATGATCCCCTATTGCCCAAGGGCCCCATGAGATGTCCCCCATGGGTTGTCAAAGTCCAGGGGCCCCCCCTGGTTCAGAGATGTAAGATGTACCCATTAACATCCCCTTTACCTGTAGCAACTGCTTTTCTCTTAAGGCTAGTATGCCTACTGGTACCTGAATGGTCCTAAGGACTTAAAGTGAAGTTCCACTCACACTGTGAAAAAATAAAAGTTAGCTGCTACAAAAACTGTAGCTGCTGACTTATAAAAAACAGCCACTTACCTGTCCTATGATCCCGTGGTGTCCTCCGCGCAGCCCGTTTCACCAGCAGTCTGGTGCTCCAGGTGACGGCATCTTCAGTGTTGGCACCCGGCTGTGACAGGTTGCGGCTTTAAGGCACGGTGCTGTATTTGTAGTGTGATGCCCAGCAACCCCTGAGAAAGAGTTCACATACCATGTCAGATGGCTTCAGGATGTGGAATGGCTCAAGGTCGGTGTAATATGCAGAAGCAACCAGGACTAGTGACTGACTGCATGTCAAGCATGCAGGGATCAGGGCTGGCAGCAGACAATGGCAAAGACTGCTATCTAAGCAAGGTTCTGGACAGGAAACAATCAGTAGTGTATCCTTTATCCAGGCAAGGGTCAGCACAGATGGCAACCAGTAGTGGATCTTTAATCCAGGAAAGTGTCAGGGCAGGTAGCAATCAGTAGGGTATCCCTTATCCAGGAAAAGGCCAGAAGAGCAGGTGGCAATCAGTAGTGTATATGTTATCCAGGCAAAAGACAAGGCAGGTAGCAATCTGTGATGTATTCGCTATCCAGGCAAGGGTCAGGGCAGGTGGCAATCAGTAGTGTATCCGTTATCCAGGCAAGAGTCAGGGCAGGCTGCAATCAGTAGTGTATCTTTTATCCACGAAAGGGGCAGGTGTCAATCAGTAGTGTATCTTTTATCCACGAAAGGGGCAGGGCAGGTAGCAATCAGTAGTGTATGTTTTATCCAGGCAAGGGTCAAGGCAGGCTGCAATCATTAGTGAATCCTTTATCTGGGCAAGGATCAGGGCAGGTAGCAATCAGTAGTGTATCTTTTATCCCAGCAAGAGTCAGGGCAGGTGGTAATTAGTAGTGCATCCTTTATCAAGGATTAGGCAAGGATTAGGGCAGGATCAGGGCAGCAGAATCAGTAGTGTATCCTTTATCTAGGCAAGGATCAGGGCAGGCAGCAATCAGTAGTGTATCCTTTATCCATGCAAGGGTCAGGCTAGGCAGCAATTAAAAGTGTATCCTTTATCCAGGCAAGGATCAGGGCAGGCAGCAATCAGTAGTGTATCCTTTATCCATGCAAGGGTCAGGCTAGGCAGCAATTAAAAGTGTATCCTTTATCCAGGCAAGGATCAGGGCAGGCAGCAATCAGTAGTGTATCCTTTATCCATGCAAGGGTCAGGCTAGGCAGCAATTAAAAGTGTATCATTTATCCTGGCAAGGGTCAGGGAAGGTGGCAATCAGTAGTGTATTTGTTATCCAGGCAAGAGTCAGGGCACGCAGCAATCAGTAGTGCATTCTTTAGGCAAGAATCAGGGCTGGCGACAGTCAGTAGTGTATCCCTTAATCAGGCAAGGGAAAGGGCAGGCGGCAATCAGTAGTAGGTGTATCAGTATTATCTAGGCAAGAGTGAGGGAGGGCAGGTGATCCAATCAGTAGTGTATCCTTTATCTAGGCAAGGGTCAGTGCAGGAGACATTAAGTTGTATATCCTTTATTCAGGCAAGGGTCAACAAACATTACCAGTCAAAGGCAAGTAACTTGGCAAGGCACTAAGTAAAGGAGTTGTGAAGCTTAACAATATCTCAAAACCTAGAGCCACAGCCCTGCCAGCCATTTGGAACAGAGAAAGTGGAACACACAGCATTCCAGCTCTTCTGTCTCACACTACTAGAAAGAAAAAAGTTAGTATACGAATCATCAGTAATCCACAGTAATAATCCGACTGCTTTGAGGGATCAGGAAGGTATTAATGCTTTCCCTGCTGGAACAAATAGGGCCATGCTTCATAGGGGATTTTTTTTGCCTTCCTCTGGATCAGCTGTGGGTATAGGATTCTGTTGACGGAGGTTTTCTATTTATTTAATTATTTTCTATTGGTTGACCTAACCTGCCTAACTTCATAGCAGATACCCTTAGGTGCCTTCACAAGCTCTCATTAAGAGCATTGGGTAGACATACATAGTTACATAGTTAGTCTGGCTGAAAAAAGACAAAAGTCCATCCAGTTAAACATTACAATAATACAAAAAAAGTTATAATTCTACACCCACAGTTGATCCAAAGAAAGGCAAAAAAAAAACAGCAAAGGATGATCCAATTTGCTCCCCGAGGCAATCAGATATTCCCTGGATCAACTTTACCTATAAATGTTATATCCAGTTATATTCTGTGTATCCAAGAAAGAATCCAGGACTTTTTTAAAGCAATCCACTGAGCTGGCCAGAACGAACTCTTGAGGGAGTCTATTCCACATGTTCACAGCTCTTACTGTGAAGAAACCTTTCCGTGTTTGGAGATTACATTTCTTTTCCTCCAGATGTAAAGAGTGCCCCCTTGTCCTCTGTGATGACATCAGGGTGAATAGCTCTACATCGAGTTCACTATAGAACCACTGATGTACATCATGGATCATTCCCCACTATATGTATTATACATGATCATATCCCCCCTTATGTATTATACATGGAGATCATATCCCCCCTTATGTATTATACATGGAGATCATATCCCCCCTTATGTATTATACATGGTGATCATATCCCCCTTATGTATTATACATGGAGATCATATCCCCCCTTATGTATTATACATGGAGATCATATCCCCCCTTATGTATTATACATATCATATCCCCCCTTATGTATTATACATTGAGATCATATCCCCCCTTATGTATTATACATGGAGATCATATCCCCCCCTTATGTATTATACATGGAGATCATATCCCCCCTTATGTATTATACATGGAGATCATATCCCCCCTTATGTATTATACATGGTGATCATATCCCCCCTTATGTATTATACATGGAGATCATATCCCCCCTTAATCTCCTCTTCTCAAGAGAGAATAAATTCAGTTCCTCTAATCTTTCCTCATAGCTGAGCTCCTCCATGCCTCGTATCAGTTTGGTTGCCCTTCTCTGTACTTTCTCCAGGTCCCCAATGTTCTTTTTTTGTGAATTGGTGCCCAAAACTGAACTGCATATTCCAGATGAGGTATTACTAATGATTTGTACCGGGGAAATGATATCTCTCTCTCTCTGAAGTCTATACCTCTTTTAATACAAGAGAGGATTTTGCTCACTTTAGAAACCGCAGCTTGGCATTGCTGCCATTATTAATCCCCCTGGTGGTATTCCCTAGTGTAGCTCGGGGTTTACTTTCAGTACCAAAAACAGTAACCCCAAGCTACACTTCGGGAATACCATGCAGCATCGCTCAGGGATTCCCTCCAGCACTTACCTTGTCCTGCGCTCCCACGATGTCCCCCCTGCAGTGTGTCCCCTGTAATGTAATCCGGCCGATGCCGGCATCCGTCTTACGGGTTCCGTTCCCTGCGAGCGTCAGTTCCATTCACTAATACACTAAAATCACTTAGTAAAACATTACTGTATCAAACCATTTCACATACATTTTGTCCCGAGTGCTTTGTCCTGCGCCCTGCCTGCATCTTTACTGTTCTTTCTCCTGGAAACTGAGAAATGTCCATGGCGTCCAAAAAGCGTCCCTTTAGGTCAGACACGGTTTTAGACCAGCTAGAGAACAGTGATAGTAAATCAGAACCACTTGCAGAATTGAGTGATAATGATTCGTGGGGCAAATTCGTCATCAGACACTGAAAACGATTCTGTGACTTTGCTCAGTGATGTGCGAACTTGGCGCTCTATTTCAAATTTCAGTGTTTTTGGTTTGATTACGTTATTGAATTAAATTTATTATTATATTATTATTTTTTATGATTATTTATTAATTATAATTTATGATAATTTATGATCAAATTGTAACATACCCAGGATGTTTACTAGACTCTTGTTCGGACAGATTTCAGTGAGTTATTCCTAAGAATTACAGGCCTACAATAAAAAAACTACATATTTCCATGCAAAACAATGTACCGCTTTGAGCACAGAAATACTGACATAATCAGACCGCTAGGGAGGTTAAGCTTGTGATCTACGAGATCCTTCTCCACCATTGATTCCCCCAGTTGTACTCCCCCAGTATGTATGATGCATGCATATGTGTGTTTCGTTTCTTAACTAATCAATTTTGTCCTAAGATTTTATTTTCAGAGATTTGGATGTATATGAATCTCTAAATGGACATAGGAACGAATGTCAACGAATCCGAAAAAAATTACAACAACATTAACTAATGCATTTGTTTCATTTGCTTCATTCAGATAACATCACATGATTTGATAGCAGTTTGAGCCCATGGGGAAATGGATTCAATTTTTTAGTTATTTTAATCATTCGGATACTTGTAAATTTGTGGTTTAAATTGAATTTTTAATTGTCACATTCAGTCAGCTCAGTTCCACAGTCAAATACTATTCCTAGGTTTGAAAAATTTCAGGGCTGATAAATTTTGCATTATTTATCCTGTAACGTCCGAAAATATAAAATCCTTCTGAATTGTTTCGATATATAAATAATGAATTCACCTGAAACTTCACATTTGAAAACTAATATATAGCAATCTTCTGAAATTACTGCAAACTTTTTCGAATCTATCTGGACAAATGGATATACGAAACAAATGCTGAATATGACGAAACAAATCCCAAAAATGAATCAGTTCAACATAACAAATACGAAAAAAATTTAAATTCTTCAAATGAACGAATGCATGTGGAACAGAACATATGCAAAATTTCCATCGTGCACCATGTCTAGCCTTGGGAAGACTCTTGCAACTTACTACTGGAGACTGAGCAACCCATCAAACTGAAGAATAAAACAGTTGCAGAGAAAGGCAAGGACCTTCTGGGTCCACGAGCTGAGAACTTACATTTCATGCAAGTTTTTAGATGTACTTATGCATGTGTGCTAGTTAATGCCAGTTAGTGCTGTTTAATGCTTTTTAAAGTGGTGCCACTCTATTCTTTCTTTCTTGAGAGGTGATGGAAGAGTCCAAAAGAGGGTTGCAAAAATATTCTTGAGGATTACGGGTTCCTTCTATGGGAAAAGTATGCTTGGTCATAATGAAATGTCTTATTACATTACATTACATCGAGTTTATATAGCGCCAAAGGGTTTGCTCAGCGCTGTACAATAGAGGGGGGGACAATACATGAAACAGTACAGCAACTACAAACAGCACACGAGGGGTTAGAGGGCCCTACTCTTTCGAGCTTACAATCTAGGAGGGAGGGGGTAGTGGTACAGGAGGAAGTGGCTGTGGGGGATGGAGTGGTAGGAGGAATGAAGGAGAACGGCAGTTAGGTAAGGGTGGGGTAGCCTTCCCTGAAGAGGTGGGTTTTCAGGGAGCGCCTGAAGGTGAGGAGGGAAGGTGACAGTCTGATGGATTGGGGTAGTGAGTTCCAGAGGATGGGGGAGGACCTGGAGAAGTCTTGCAGACGTGCATGGGAGGAGGAGACCAGGGGGCAAGATAGAAGGAGGTCCTGTGAGGAGCGAAGGGTACGGGTGGGGTGATACCTGGGAATCAGGTTGGTGAGGTAGTTAGGGGCAGTGTTGTGAATGGCTTTGTAGGTCAGAGTGAGTAGTTTGAATTTGATGCGTTGGGCGATAGGGAGCCAATGGAGGGATAGGCAGAGGGGGGTGGCAGAGGTGGAGCGGTTGGTGAGGTATTTAAGGTTCTGTGAATAGGGGCAAGTCCGAGTCTAGGTGGAATGGTCACTTTGAGCTCAATCACAAGGTTCTGTTCACATCTGAGCGTAGCAAGCACGCTTTTTTTGGGGCGTTGAATGGGCAGCCCTATGTGTGACAAATGCTCCAAAGAAGCTTCAAAACTTTTTTTGTAGTGGAGTGTTTAGTGCATTAACAGTGCAATTGCCACGTGACAAAGTGCACAGTAAATGTACTCCTGCTACCCATGTTTGGGGTGTCATTAACAGTTAGTGGCACCAAAAGGTTGATGCGTGTTTGCAGCGTGATTTGAAAACATGTGGAAAAGTGCACATTTTCCCTGCAGTTGTTCTCACATTCAAAAACTTGCAGATGTGAACGGGGCTTAAGGACTCATTCTAACATGTGGCATCCCATGTCATGGTAAATGATGTTTTAGAGCTGGGTTGAAAGGCGGTTGTCACCTCCTCATTACCTGTTTTAACCCTGAAAATGCTGACCTGCAGGGGGTCACCGAGCCGACCCATTCACTTGAGTAGGTTTGTATTCTCTGCAGTACTGCCCACCTAATGTGACAGGGGATTCATTTTTGACATGGCATTAGAGATGAGCACAATGGAAAAAAAAATTTTGTTTCGGATTCGGTTGTGAAGTTAATCATTTAGTTTTTTTATAGTCATTATGTTAGATTAATTCATTTTTGGAATTCATTTTGTATATTTGGATTCGCTTTGCAAATTCATTATTTTCAAATTGATTTGAAATTCGAATTTCAGAAGACTACTATATTTATTTTTTTTGTTCTATTCTATTCTACTTTTTGTAATCCATCCTTTTCTATTCTTTTATTTTCTATTCTATTCTTTTCCTTTATTTTCTATTCAATTCTATTCTATTCTATTCCTTTATTTTTCTATTTATTATTTTCTATTCTTTTCTGTTTTTATTTTTATTATATTTCTTTATTTTCCATTTTAGTCTATTTAGTGGTAGTCATAGTCAATAATTGAGTGTGGAGTGGATTCCCAAATTGGATTTGGACACAGTTACTGTATGTCACATTTAAGATTTCAATTTTTTGTGATAAGCGCTGAGTTCCTGGAAAGAAGATACACCAGAGGATTATAGTGATTTCATGTTTATTATTAATTATATTGCTCTGAACACTGCATTAGATATTTATTTCTGGTAGAGCTGCACTTATTTTCTTTTGTCTTTTGATGAGTCATTCATTTGAAGTTCTGTCTCCTTTTGGGTATATTATTTGAATGAACTAGGAGAAGAGGTCTTCTATTTTTTTTTCTATTCTATTCTTTTCCTTTATTTTCTATTCAATTCTTTTCTATTCCTTTATTTTTCTATTTATTAATTTCTATTCTGTTTGATGCTATTCTTTTCTGTTTTATTTTATTATATTCCTTTATTTTACATTTTAGTCTATTTAATTATTTTCTGTTCTATTTTATTATACTCTATTCTGCTCTGTTCTTTTCTATTCTATTCTTCTCTAGTCCTTTATTTACTATTCTATTCTATTTTTTATAACCTCCCTGGCGGTATGATTATTTCAGATTTTTGGTGCTGAAAGCGGTACCATTATTTTGCATGGAAATATGTTTTTTTTTTTATTGTAAGGCTGTAATTTTTAGGAATAACTCACTGAAACCTGTCCGAACAAGAGTCTAGTAAACATCCCGGGTATGATAAAATTTGAAACACTAATCATAAATTATAATTTAATAAATAATCATAAAAAATAATAATATAATAATAATAAATATAATTTAATAATATAATCAAACCAAAAACACTTAAATTTGAAATAGAGCGCCAAGTTCGCACATCACTGAGCAAAGACGCAAAATCGTTTTCACTGTTTGATGACGAATTTCCCCACGAATCATTATCACTCAATTCTGCAAGTGGTTCTGATTTACTATCGCTGTTCTCTCTAGCTGGTCTAAAACCGCTTTTGACCTAAAGTGACGCTTTTTTGGACACCATGGACGTTTTCTCAGTTTCCAGGCAGAAAGAACAGTAAAAATGCAGGCAGGGCACTGGGACAAAGCACTCGGGACAAAATGTATGTGAAATGGTTTGATACAGTAATGTTATACTATTTGATTTTAGTGAATGTCACTTTTTGTCATTTTTGAATTTCCTGCCGTTCCGTCCCCCGTACGTCCCGACGCTCACAGGGGACGGAACCCAGATGACAGATGCCGGCATCCGCGGATTTACATTGTTGGGGACACTGCAGGAGGGACATCGCGGGAGCGCAGGACAAGGTAAGTGATACAGGGATCGTGGAGCAGCGTCGCATGGTATTCCCCGAGTGTAGCTCGGGGTTACCGCTTGTGGTACTGAAACCTTACCCCGAGCTACACTCGGGAATACCGCCAGGGAGGTTAATATTCTATTCTGTTCTATTCTATTGCCATTCCTTTATTTTCTATTCTATTTTATTCATTTCAACTCTATTCATTTATTTTCTATTCTCTTCTATTTTGATCTACACTTTTCTATTCTATATTATTCATTTATTTTCTATTCTTTTCTGCTCTATTCCTTCATATTGTATTCTTTTCTATTCTATCTTTTTATTTTCTATTTTATTATCCTTTATTCTATTATCTTTTATTTTATTATCCTTTTAGTATCCTTTATTCTTTTACTTTCTATTTTATTCTATAAAGCAGCCTAAGTAGGAATCATCATCTTATTTCACTTTTATACCGTACTGTATTTATTTTAGGTACCTATATAGCGATGTCAATGTACACAGCGCTTTATATATATATATTTGTACATTCACATCAGTACCTAACCCTCAAGGGGCATACGATCTAAGGTGCCTAAATTACATTCATACATACTAGGGTCAGTTTAGACAGGATCCAATTAACCTACCACATGTCTATGGAGTGTGGGAGGAAACCGGAGTACCCGGAGGAAATCCACCCAGGCACAGGGAGAACATGCAAACTCCAGGCAGGTGGAGGCAGTGGCGTACAATCTAAGGTTCCTAACTTACATTCATACATACACATGCTAGGGCCAATTTAGACAGAATCCAATTAACCTACCAGCATGTCATTGGAGTGTGGAGGAAATTGGAGTACCCGGAGGAAACCCACACAGGCACAGGGGAACATGCAAACTCCAGGTAGGTGGTGCCATTACTGGGATTCGAACCAACACCCCTAGTACTGCCAGGCGCAATATATCTCCAATTTGAATTCAAATTCATTCACAAACTCATACACTAGACTGTCAGTTCATTTGAACTCTGCTATATCATTTTTTTTTAATCTGTACTTTGTGTGTTAATCATAGTCAATAATTGAGTATGGAGTGGATTCCCAAATTGGATTTGGACACAGTTACTGTATGTCACATTTAAGATTTTAAATTTTTTTGTGATAAGCGCTAAGTTCCTGGGAAGAAGATACACCAGAGGATTATGGTGATTTCATGTTTATTATTAATTATATTGCTCTGAACACTGTATTAAATATTTATTTCTGGTAGAGCTGCACTTATTTTTTTTTTGTCTTTTGATAAGTCATTCATTTGAAGTTCTGGCTCCTTTTGGGTATATTACTTGAGTGAACCAGGAGAAGAGAAGGTCTTCATTGGAGAATCATTGTGAATAGAGATGTTAGCCATCAAATACAGTGGAAGAGAACATTGGTCATGAAACACTAATTATATCAGCACCATGGACAGGGAATCTATGATACAAGAGAGATAGAAGGGGAATCCTCAAACACTAAGGCTGCTTTCACACTGATCTGTTTTATGCTCAGTTGTTCAGTTAGAGGAAATCTGCAACCCTTTAAATCCTATGTAGCTCTTCACACTGCTCCGCTGCACTTCAATTGCGGTTAAAAAAACCCTGCTTGCTGCATTTTTTGGTGCAAGATTGCTCCAGTAAAAAAAAAAAGCACTAAAAAACGCATCCCTCTGAAATGTATTTATTTATTTATTTATCGAGTTTATATAGCGCCAAAGGGTTTGCTCAGCGCTGCACAATAGAGGGGGGGACAATACATGAAACAGAACAGTAACATCAAACAGCACCACAAGGGGTAAGAGGGGCCCTACTCTTTCGAGCTTACAATCTAGGAGGGCTTTTTTTGGGGGTAGAGGCACAGGAGGAAACGGCTGTGGGGATGGAGTGGTAGGAGGAGGGAAGGGCAGCGGCTGTTAGGTGAGGGTGGGGTAGGCTTCCCTGAAGAGGTGGGTTTTCAGGGAGCGCCTGAAGGTGAGGAGGGAAGGTGACAGTCTGATGGATTGGGATAGTGAGTTCCAGAGGATGGGGAGGACCTGGAGAAGTCTTGCAGTCGTGCGTGGGAGGAGGAGACCAGGGAGCAAGATAGAAGGAGGTCCTGTGAAGAGCGAAGGGTACGGGTAGGGTGGTACCTGGGAATCAGGTCGGTGAGGTAGTTAGGGGCAGTGTTGTGAATGGCCTTATAGGTCAGGGTGAGCAATTTGAATTTAATGCGTTGGGCAATGGGGAGCCAGTGGAGGGAGAGGCAGAGGGGGGGTGGCAGAGGAGCGTATCTTGGCGATGTTCCGGAGGTGGAGCCTGCATGTGTTTGTGAATGATTTGATATGAGGTTGAAAGGAAAGGTTTGAGTCCAGAATGACGCCAAGGACCTTGGCTTGCTGGGCGGGATTGATGGTGGTGTTGTTGGTAGTGATGGAAAGGATGGGAGGGGGGGCGCGGGCTGGGGGGAAGACGAGAAGCTCGGTTTTGGAGAGGTTGAGCTTGAGGAAATGGAGCGACATCCAGTCAGAGATGTCGTTTAGGAGGTGAGTGATGCGGGCGGAGAATGTGGGGGTGAGGTGAGGGGTGGATAGGTAGATTTGAGTATCATCAGCGTAGAGGTGGTAATTGAAGCCATGGGAGTGTATGAGTTTGCCAAGGAGGAGGAGGTGTAGATGGAGAAGAGAAGGGGTCCAAGGACAGAGCCCTGGGGGACCCCAACAGAGAGGGGGAGGGAAGAGGAGGTGGCATCGTTGTAGGAAACGCTGAAGGAGCGTTGGGATAGATAGGATGAGAACCAAGAGAGAGCGGTGTCTCTGATGCCAAGGGAGAGTAGTTTATTAAGGAGGAGGGGGTGGTCGACTGTGTCAAAGGCCGCGGAGAGGTCTAGGAGGAGGAGGAGGACAGAGTAGTCGCCTTTGGCTTTGGCGGTTAGTAGATCGTTGGTGATTTTGAGGAGAGCAGTTTCGGTGGAGTGTAGGGGACGGAAGCCGGACTGTAGTGGGTCAAGGAGGTTGCTGTCAGTTAGGTGGGCGCTTAGGCGATCGAAGACCAAGCGCTCAAGGAGCTTGGAAGTGAGTGGCAGCAGGGAAATTGGTCTGAGGTTGTTGAGGTCAGTGGGGTCCAGGGGAGGGCTTTTTGAGTATGGGGGTGATTTGCGCATGTTTTAGGGGGGAGGAGGAAGACGCCAGTAAAGAGGGAGAGATTGAAGATGTGGGTAAGGGAGCGGATGAGGAAAGAGGGGGGTGACCGGAGGAGTTGAGAGGGATAGGGTCCAGAAGGCAGATAGTGAGTGAGGGGCTTCTGAGAAGACTCTGGTGATTTCCTCAGTGGTAGTAGGGCTGAAGGAGTGCAGTGATGGGGGGGGTTACGGTAGGCAGGGCCTTGGGTGTGGTGGGGGGCAGTGCCGTTGCGAGGCCAGAGGAGGGAGAGAGATGAGGGGGTGATGGAAGGGGGGAGGCTAGATGGGGAGGTAGATTGCGAGTTGACTATGTCCTTGCGAATTGCGTCAATCTTGTTGTGGAGATGAGTGGCAGTGGGCGGTAAGTGAGGGTACTGAGTGGAGGGGGGGGGAGATTGCGAGGGCTGAGGGGTCCAGGGATCGGGCTTGGCAGGGAGGGCTGGTGGAGGGAGGTAATGATGTGGGTGGTGAGGGGGTGAGTTGGAGTTGAGAGGGGGGGGGGGGAGAATAGTGAGGCTGTGGCGTGGAGGAGGTGACTTCCTCAGTAGGAAGGCCTGAAGGGGTGCAGGGGGGGGGTGGTGGGGGGGCCCTTGGGTGTGGTGGGGGGAGAGGAGGTCTGGGGGGGGAGGCTAGATGGGGAGGTAGATTGCAAGGATGTCCTTGCGGAGGTCAATCTTTGTTGTGGAGATGAGTGGCAATTTCCCGTGGGCGGGTACATGAAGTGAGAGGGGTACTGAGTGGAGGAGGAGAGGGGGAGGGGGGGCTGAGAGAGCAGGGAGTTGAAGGTGGAGAAGAGTCGGCGAGGGCAGGTGGAGAGGGTGTTGATCAGGTTAACGAAGTAGGACTGCTTGGCGGCGTGGAGGGAGGAGGTGTAGGTGAGGAAGGCAGATTTGTAGAGGGAGAATGCATGAGGGGACCTGGTTTTGCGCCATAGTTTTCTCCAGCTCACGACTGCGACGTTTGAGGCATTTAGTATGGTCGTTCTGCCATGGTTGGAGCGGTCTGGGTTTGATGTTGCGTGTGGTTAGGGGTGCCAGAGAGTCTAGGGTAGCTGATAGTGAGTCGTTGTACGCGGTGGTGGCTAGGTCAGGACATGACAGTGGAAGGATGCTGTCGTGTAAGTGGTCGGCAGCCGAGTGGAGGGGGGCCAGGTGCAGGTTGCGGAGGTTGCGGCTGGTGATGGTTTGGCGCACTGGGGGGGGGGGGAGTTAGGGGAAGGGGAGATGGAGAACATGAGGAGGTGGTGGTCGGAGAGAGGGAAGGGGGTGTTAGTGAAGTGGTTAAGGGTACAGAGGTGGGAGAAGACGAGGTCCAGGGTGTTCCCATTGATGTGGGTGGAGGATTGAGTGTATTGTGTGAGCACGAAGGAGGAGGTTAGGTGGAGGAGTTGGGAGGTAGCTGGGGTGTTGTCGTTGATGGGGATGTTGAAGTCCCCGAGGATGATGGTCGGTAGCTCAGAGGAGAGGAAGAAGGGAAGCCAGGCGGCGAAGTCATCCAGGAAGCGGGCTATGGATCCGGGGGGCCTGTAGATCACTGCAATCCTTAGGGGGGTGGGTGAGAAGAGCCGGATGCAGTGAGCCTCGAAGGAGGAGAAGGTTAGGGAGGGGGGGTTAGGGAGGACCTGGAAGGTGCTCAGCGGTGATAGGAGCAGGCCGACACCACCACCTTTGTGACCGCTCACCCTTGGTGAATGGGACCAGACGAGACCTCCATGGGAGAGTGCCGCAGGGGAGGTAGTGTCAGTGGCCTGTACCCAGGTTTCGGTGATGGCTAGGAGGTTGAGGGAGCGGGAGATAAAGAGGTCATGGATGGCAGTTAGTTTGTTGCAAACCGAACGGGCGTTCAGAAGTGCAACCGAGAGAGGGGGGATGGATGCGGGGAGGAGGTGCACAGGTATGAGGTTGAGGGGGTTGCGGCAGCTGGCGGGGGCAGGGGGGTCCCTGGAGGGGGGGTTCCTGGAGGGGGGGG